TTTCTTCTTTCCATTTCTACTTACCACAAACATCTCATACTGTTTCCCATTCTTCAATTTTTCTTTTCGTTGGTTTCTTTTACTTTTATTCTTTCTCTTTTGTTTTTCCCACGAATGTTTCCCTTATTTTTTTTATTGCTTGCTTACAATTTCTACTTATGCCTCCCACATTACTCAAGCCATGTCTTCATGGTGTTTTGCATTAGTTTTTTATGAGTCCATGCAATTTATTTTGCATTAGTTTTTTTGTTTTTATTTTTTACAAGTTATTTTACCCCCCAACAAAACTAAACCAAATAGCCCCATTTGTGGCCCTCTTAGGCTTTAAAAAGAAGCCAATGCTTTTGAGCCTCGACTTTGATTTGTAGCCCACTTAAGCTTTTATTTTATTTTTTCTGGGCTAGTTTTAGGCCTTTTTCATTTTAATTGCATTTGGAGTTTCATTTATTTTTATTGTTTTTTTTAATTATTATAAGTATTAGTATTAGTATTAGTATTAGTATTTATTTATTTATTTTTATTATTATTATTATTATTATTTATTTTGTTTTTTTGTTTAATGGTCAATATTAGGTCATTAATGAGCTTTAAGAATAAATCCTTTATCGATCATCTTTATTGGTCCATTTTGGGTTTTAATTTGGGCCCATGCAATGAGTTTCATTAAAGGGGCCAGATTGGGTCTCATTCTAAAATATTTAAAGTGAACCATGTAATGGACTCAAAAAGTGATGGTTAATGTCTAATTGCAAAAATGAGCTCAAATTAAAATAATAATAAAAAATTCTTACAAAATTTGGTATCTACAACAATCTAAAGATTTTGATGATTGATTGTTGAAGGAAGAATTGTGAAATATGAAGATTACATTGAACTAAGTTTTGTTCCTTTTTCTTGTTACCTATTCGGCTTCTTCTCTATAAATTCGTAGTTTATGTTATAGGAATGTTATTTTGGTCATTTTGCAAGTAATGACATCATTGGATGATAATGGAATAGTGACACATGATGATCATGTGCCATGTTTTAAATTTCAAATGATATTTTTAATCTATCCTTAATTATAAGATATGTTTCTAATGTTTATCTATCTAAAAAATAATATGATTAGCAAAACTTGAAACTATTTGACCTGAAATAATTCGAATAAAAAATTAGAATTTAAAATAATTTGAACTCGATAATTTACCACTTCAAGAACTAGGTTGTTTATAGTAGAATTAATGGCGAAAAACAACTGCATAAGTTTTTTTTAATGAAACTATATAAGCTTTTTAATTAAACTTTGGTTGCTTGCAAATATATAGCTAAAACAACAAACGTCAAGAAAAGATACACATTCTTCGTTGAAATATTGCAACTCATCTTGTTTTACACTGTTGGGATCTTCTATCATTATCTCTTTCACTATAGTTGTTTTGCAAAAATGGATTTTCCACATCAAACTGAATTGAAACAAGACATATTTAATTTTATCATAAAAAACAATTTGTATACTTCTATCGGTGACAGCCTCGTTAAATCTCCCTCCTATATAGAACCTAAATTGAAACAAAGCATTGCGCTCTGTCTTCCTTATTCTTTTTTAATTTCAAATTGTTTTCGTCCAAAAGCTAAAAAATGATTTCTTTCATCTTTTTCTACCTTTCTCTTACGTGCTGTCATTCTGCGATTTTCAAATGTAATTATGAAAAATTGTATACCAAACACAGAGATGACGAGTCATTATATGTATTTAAATAAAATGTTAAAGCAGAATATGAGATTTAGTCATTTTAGTTCATGTATTCTTTTGCAAAATGTGATATTCAATAAGTTTATAGTTAAGATTTCAGTATCTACAATTTCTTTTTTATATTTATACTGCAGCTTTATATAAAAGAATTCTAAAGTTTTGTATGTTTTAATTAAAATTAAACTTGATATTTTCTTATGCCACATGATATTTTTCAGAGATAAAGATTCATGGTAATAAAAGATGCTTGAATGCTTTAAAATATATCATGGATGGATTACAATATATTTCCTATTAAATAAAACCTAAGAAAGAACTTAAAGTTAAAACTACACAATTTTCTCATAAAAAACTTAATGTAAAGTTTGGCCTTAAAATTAAACACCTCAACTGACTAAAACCATTATAACATCAACATGGTTTTCTTGATCTAAAAATTAAGTGATTTTAGATTGTGGGTTTCTCTTTTAATTTAAAGTATGGACTAATATAGTCAACGAGGTTAGCAAACAATTCATTTCATCATAAAATAAAGAGCAAAAAAAAAAAAAAAACAAAAACAAAAGAGAAGTTCAAAAACGTTGTAATGTAGGACAAACACACGTTGAGTAAAAAATTTATATAGTTGGATTGTTTGTTTGAGAGTATTTGTTCTTACATCACTTTGATCCGACACTGTGTTATAAATCCACATCGAATTTGTTCACTTGACAAAAAGAACTATGCTCTAAATATAATAGAACCACAATTATATAGGACTCTTTTATGTCATGTATATTGGAGTGTATAAATAAATAAATATATATATTTATATATATAGAAGAGACTTGCAACCTAAGATTAATAAAAAAAAAATTGTATATGCTGAAATTTCAAAACCAAACATATCAGATGCAACATTTTAAGTGTTGTTGAATGAATCAAATTAAATTTTGAATTTATAATGGCAGTAAATTTCAAACAAGAAGCATTATGCTCTAATTGTAATTGAAACAAAATTACATGGGATTATTTTGTTAGGGATATGACAGTTTTGATACTAGTTGTTTAATTAAAAAACCCACAATCAATTAATCATTTAATACCGTGAAAGTAAAATTAAATAATTAATTAATCATAAAAGAGATAATAATTTAACGTGATTCAATAAATCGATTTACATCCATAGAAAAGAAAAAAATTTACTGATTGTAGAGAATTATAAATAAAAAATAACAAATAAATCTCATTTACAATTAATACTCTATAGGATTAGAGAAAAATTAATATCCATAGACTATCTTATTATTCTCTAATTCTATGAAATATTTTTAATTCAAATAAACACATACTCATATACGGATATGTATCATACCTATGTAGATTCTCTTATTATTTTCTAATCAAAAAACATACACACTCATAAGGACTTTCTCAATCTCTTATAATCTTATGAGATGTCTCGTAAAACTTTACAATGCTCTTATATTTTTTTTTTCATACCTAATTTTATAAAGATTATTTATTTATAAGCAATTTAATTTGCTTATAAATAATCTATTTTCTCGTAAAATTATTCATTTAAAATTTTTTTAATCCATAATATTTAATTAATTTCAAATAAATTTTTTATAAAATTTGAGTAACTATTTTTAATATATTTTATATCATATATAATGATTGAGGTGTTAAAATAATTCCCAATCTAAAAACCCATTTTTTCAAATCTGAACATAATTTAATAAAAAAAATAAAAAATTTGATTTCAAAATTGTTAAACTCGAAATGATTTAAATTTTAAAAATTCAAACCTCAAAGTTCTTGAAACCAAAAGAAAAAAACAAATAAAAACAGATAAACTAAAAAAAAATCTAAACTTAAATTCAACTTGGACTCGAAAAACCGGAATAATTATATCTTACAGAAAACTAAAAATGATTCGAATTAGTCTAAATACAAAATGATTCGAATGGAAATAGCCTAATTGAAAAGAGTCAAAATCTATACAGTCCGATTGCCAAATTATGGAACCAAACCGCTGGTTTGCCACCTCTTACTAAAGACTCAATGGATCCGCATATAAACAAAAAAGAAAAAGAAAGAAAACTGGTAAATTTCAGAAAAAAAAAAAAAGAGAAAAATGTAATTTAAAACTTGTAAACGTAGCAACCGGCCAAAAAGAAAAAGAAAGAAAACTAGTAAATTTCAGTGAACGGGGAAAAATGTAATTTAAAACTTATATAAAACAGCAACCGGCCAATTCCCACCTGTGAAAAACTGTATAGGCAAAGCTCAAGGACGGCAGTTAAGACCGTTGAAGTGTTTAATAAATAAACAAAAGGGAAAAACTTGAAATATAAGGCATATTGTTTGCATGACAAATGTTGACAGTTTCCCTTCTTTTTGTCTGCTTTCATTTGTCAGTCTTGAAGCCTACCTCTTGCCTTGTTGCCTATTGATATGTCTCTCCATAATTTACAGTTCCTTTTTTACTTTATTTTCTCTTTGTTTTTCTTCATTGTTATGCACTCCCTTTTTTCGTAGACAAAACCAACAACTCATCTGTAAATAAATAAATAAATAAATATATATATATATATATTCCTGTGTCTTTTCCTCACTCAGCATCTACTTCATTCCATTCTTTTTTCACATCCTAGGATTCATTCATTCATTCATTCTCCTTCTTCTTCTTCTTCTTCTTCTTCTTCTTCTTCTTCTTCCCACATACTAAGCCGCCTCCACAACTCAGTTTATATTGTCTATTAGCAAGATTTTATTTTCGGGTTCTGTGTCCAATTCTGCTTCCAACTTGGATCACATTAAAGAATGGGAGGTTGAAAAGAGATGATATTGGATTGTATATGAGTGAAAAGTAAGTGTTTGTATATACTAACTTTTGAATTGCTGTTTTTATTTTCTTTCGAATTGATTGAAAGTAAGTTTGAAGCAGATAGAAAAAGGTATTTTGCATTATTTTAATTTTGGTGTCATGCATACGTTCTTTTATTTTTTTTTTTCTGTCCACGAGAGTACAATGTTTAATGCTATGAAATGCAGGCATTCAGAAATGAAATTTCTATGGAGTTTTCATTGGATAGTAAAAACGAATTTATTCTGGTGAAATCACATTTCAGGTGAAGTAAATTTGTAGCTATTTAGATTGATGTTGGGCTTTTTTGAATTTTCTCGTTTTTAGTGGACACCTGATAGAAGAAAATTGAATTCAATTAGTACTATATTTCTTCTCTCCTCAATTTCTGTTGCTCATTTTTCTTTGATACAGGATTCAGTGGACCGGGTGGAATCTAATAGCATAAAGAAATGGCATCATCCTTGGAGGAGCTTCTTGCAGAGGAAGGGTTTAGAGGAAGAAAATCGGTTATGTGGTCAAGATCCTCCTTCAGATCTGAAGCTTTAAGCAAGACAGACTCTCCATTTAGTTAAAGAGTTAAGACTGAGAGAACAAGGTCTGACATATCTTGGTACAACTTAAGAGGTGAACCATCAAGAAGTGATAGTACTATTGGTAGGAGGCCAAGAGACTCTCTTGTTAGAAGAGAGAAACTAAATGGTGAATTAAAGAAAGGAAATAGAGAAAGACTTGATGGAAGAGGTTCTAATGATAGGCAAGAGGATAGATGGTTGAATATCAATTCCTCAGAAGATTTTCAGGGAAATGAGATAGTTGAAATTGATGTGGAAGAAAACGAGAGAGTGAAGGATGTATTTGCTAATCAAGGGCATAGCTTACGGAGAAGGGGAAGACATAAGAGGAATGATAATGCTTCTACTAAACATCTGCTTGGACGAAGAAGCTATAGTGATAAGCATTGGAACAGCTTGAAGCAGCGGGAGGCTGCTTATGACAAAGCTAGTAGAGGTTCACAGATTAGCAAAAGCTTTGAAGACGGTCAGCATCGAAAGCATGATGATTTCATACCAACAGTTTCTCATCCTGCACTTGATGAAGTTGCTGTTCGAGCCATTGTATCCATCTTAAGTGGTTATATTAAAAGATTTCTCCCAAATGAGGAATTCCGGACTGCCCTTCATCACAACTGTTTCTCCTCTCTTAACTTTATCGGAATAGAAGACCATAACATTGAGAGCAAAGTCATTTTCAGCCTTGAAAAAGCAATTAGATAGTAGAAAAAGCTGCTGAAGAGTCTGTAAGTGCAAAAGAGCTGAAAAAAGCCTCATTGCAGCTTAGTGTGATAACTGGCTTGAGTTCAAATGATTTGAAAGATGGCTTCACATTTGGTGTTTCTAATGCTATGTTGTCTTCCTGTGCTCATCTTTACCTCAGTGTGATATATAAGCTGCAGAAGAAAGACGGGTTTTCAGCAAAGCATCTGTTGCAAGTGTTTTGTGATTCACCTTCTCAGGCACGGACAAATTTGTTGCCTGAATTGTGGGACTATCTATTTTTTCCACATCTTTCACATCTAATGGCTTGGTACAATCAGGAAGCTTATTCCCTATCTGATGCACCAAGCAGGGAAAGGAAACTGAAGCTTCTTAAGAAAGCATATAATGAAATTTTGGATTCTAGCACTTTCCAATTAGCTGTTTATTACAAGGATTGGCTCACAGAGGGGGTTGAAGCTCCATTTTTTCCTGCCATTCGTGTTCCGCCTGTATCAATTGGAAGCATTCAGCAGGAGAGTTCACCTGCTCATTCTCGAGGTCTAGCTAGTCCAGCTGGTCCTTTCTCACCTCAGCCAATGGTGAGTAAAAAGTTATATGACACTGTATTTGGCCAATCCAGCAAACCTGCACTAAAGGAAACTGAAGATAATGTGGAGTCACATTACTATGCGTATGATACATGCAGGAGAAACTCTGATGGTTCTACTGTTGATGTTAAACAAACATTAACATACTCTTCTGAGGCAGTTAAACATCCATGTCAAGATAATGGTGAAGTTTCCTCCAAAAGCTTACAGCACGATGCATCCTTTCTTGTAAGTAACTTCTAACATACATACACCCTCATTTTTTTGCATATTCATTGGCAGGGCTAAGAGCCAGCATGGTCTCCTTCTCCTTGCTTTGTCAAGATGTTTGTTTAAAGATGAGTGTTTCTCCCTTTCACAAAGGTCCATTAATACATGGTCATGCTTGGCTCGCAAATATATATACTTTAACTTTTCATAACTATCCATAACTACATTATGTTGCCTGTTGCATGTGTCATGTTTGTCGATTTAGCGACAGGTCATAACGGCAAATATAATGAAACTGAAATGTCTGACAATTGTTTGACCAGAATTGAAAAAAAGTTCCGGAAGAATAGAATGCTTTAATCTTCCTATTCTAAGAATATGAACTTCTACTACGTTGTTTGTGTCAAAAAGAAGGTGAATGATGAAAGCACCTAAGATTAGCCCATTTTCCTGAAGTTAGTTGTGGCTTTCTCCACGCAATACAAATATCATTTATAGTTTGCATCATGCCATTTACTGCTATTGGTGCTTTTTCTATTGCAAATTGCTTTGTTTCACTGTCCTTGAGTTGTACTATGCGAGCATCTGGTGTTGCCTCCCACTTATACCACTGTAGCTTTAAATTTTCTTGATAGGAAATTAATAGCATCTGCCATTAATTGACATACAATGTTCTAATACTGGAAACAATGATAATTTCACATTACGATACTCTTTCATATTTATTTGAATACTTAGCAACATAGGCAAATTAGACATAAAGCTTATTCAGCTGCTTCAGATTTTCCTTTCTACACGAAGCATTTCATACAGAAAGTAACTAATATTGGCGTTCTTTCTAGCTATGTCTCAGAGAAATGTTTTTAAGCGACCATTTTGAGGATTTAACTATGTTGCCGGAAGATGGCATACCCTCAACAGCTGAGGAAGAATGGAGAATACCAGGACTAGGTACGGTGCAGGAAAAAGATATCTATTGCACCAATAACAGCTCTAAAGCTGGTAATACATGGCAAACAACCGCACAAGATTATTATATGTTACATGCACCTGTTCTTTTAACTGCCAATGAACTCATGCTCAAGAGGCTAGCAAAATCTGCATTTGAGCTGCAACAAACTGAAGCACAGATGATCTTACTCTTTCTAGTCTTCCAAATCCTAGTGAGGAGCCGGTAGGAATTAATCAAATTCTTTATCTTTTAAACATTGCTGTTCCCTTTTTATCTACGGCATGCTGTGTTATTATTTACTAATAAGTTTGTCTTATTTTTTCTTTTCTGGAGCAGCCAACTGAAGTCAGGCATTCCTTTAAAGGTAAGTTGAAAGGAAAATGTTATGAATGCTTGTTCTTTATATTCAAGATTTGGAATTGATTGCTCATATTGATCTTGTCCCAGTGCAGAGTTGCATGAAAGTACCAGATATTTTGATGAAGAATCCTTATTCTCAAGCATACCCGAGGACTTTATTTGCCCTCTGACAGGAAAGATGTTTGAAGACCCAGTGGCCCTAGAGACAGGTCAAACCTTTGAGAGAGTGGCCATCAAGGAATGGTTTAAAAAGGGAAACAGAACTTGTCCTGTAACAGGAAAAGTGTTGGAATATCTTTCTGTGCCGCTTACCAACTTTATTTTGAAACGTGTTGTTGATAGTTGGAAATTGGAGAATTGTAGGCAAACCTTGGCATTGGCCTTTCAGATGGTTGGGATCTCAGGGGAACATGAATCACCAAACAGGGGTGAAAGTGAAACAGCTACATTCATATTAGAGCAATTTCTTACCACTTTAAGCATGGAAGAAAGAATAATGAATACCAAACACCTTATTTCTCTTGGAGGCTTGCCATTTCTTATTCAAAGGTTTAAAGCAGGAAGTATAGTGGAGAAAATACGTGTTGCCGCACTTCTTTCCTGTTGCATTGAAGCAGATTCAGGTTGCCGATATTATGTAGTAAGAGACATTAACAAACAGTCTGTTTGAGGTGGTTTGCAGCAAGCTGGTTAAGTCAAGAACAAATGCAGTGTTGTTATTGACAGAACTGATATGCTTGAGCAGGTTTGTGATATTTAATCTTTCTATGACAGTTTCTACATGTTTGCTTCCTAGCCATTTTGTGCAGCACAGAGGGTAGATGGGAAAGAATTGCTGAGTGGAGGTGCCCGATTTGACTCTAAGAAGAGTTCCCTCTAATCTTTCTAATCCATCTCACCTCACTCTCCCATCTTTGTGATCGTGTGTGTGTGTGATAGAAATATTGTGTCTATCTTGTTGTGTTTGTGGCAACATATTTCTGATAAAACAATTGAAAATAAAAATGATCTTGAAATTCACAATATTATCATGTCGATATTGTGTGACTAATCAAGTGAGATTGTCAATAAAGTAATCCCTTATTGTGGAAGTGACATTAAAGCAAAAAAACTGTAGCAACTATATATAACTATGAAAACATGGGCTAGTTATGATTGAGACTGATTCCTTTGATATTGATTTGGATGAGCATTCCTTCCAGCTCCCACTGATTCCAGGTTTTGTATTCATCATAACAGGAGGAAAGATGTTCCACTACTTCTAAGTGACCTGCAGAATGAAGAGATAGTGAATATTATCCATGTTCTTCATGTCTATCTCCAAAGTTCTCCTCCTAGACAGAGACCCTTCGTTGCTACACTTTGTTGAACATAGATCTACTCGTAAGCTTCTGATTTAGATTTACTGTGTATTCTGAATGGTTATTCTTGTGTCTCATATTCTTATTCTGATGTTTTCTGATTGTTTACCCTTTTTTCTCATTTTTATATTCTGATGTTATTTCTTTATATTGGACTAAGTCTCTCGCCAAGACTGAGATGAACACATGCCGCAGGTCGATCCTCAAAAATATGGCTTTTACAGACAAGAGGCTGTTGATGTCATTACAGCATCACTCAATAGCAGCTTAATTGATGAGGAGGTTAGAGAAAAATGTTGCCGAGCGCTACTTATCTTGGGAGGACGTTTTTCTTCGTCTGGGAAGTTATTGGCAGTGGGTTGGATTCTGAAGCTAGCAGGGTTCAATGATGGTCGAGAAGTGAACTCTATTGACAAAGAAGAGGATTTAGATGTTGATGATACTATTTTATTGGTAAGTTTCATATCTATGGCCCGGTCACTATTGTTTCTCCATTCATCCATGATAATCATATAGGACTGCTATTATGGTCCAAGAATTTAGATTCAGTGCTCACAATTCATTGTCCAATTGATTTTTGTTGTGGGGATATAGCTTAGTTGAATCAAGTGAATACACAGCTCATCTAAAACTTGAAACCATGTTTAAAACTGTTGCCTCTCACTTTTGTTATTCTTTACTGGCTAGCTAACAATAATTTATCTTATGAAGCACACTGATTTCAGCTTATTTGTGTTGAGATTTGCCTTGAATCTCATAATCTCATCTTAAAAGTTATAAGAGTTTTGAGTTTGTTTTGTATCTCATATCAAAAGTTTAGTAAAGGTATAAGGGGTTTCACCTTTATAGATAAGATGTTTTGGTTTTGTGTTTTGAATCTCAGAATCCCATATTAAAAGTTATAAGAGTTTTGAGTTTGTTTTGTATCTCATATCAGAAGTTTAGTAAATGTTCACCTTTATAGATAAGATGTTTTGGTTTTAATTTGGTAATTTCAAATAATTAGACACCAAAAAAATAGCTAGGTGAATAGGCTATTAAAATGGTATAATTGAGTTTTGGGTTAAGTTTTGAATAAAGAATTTTTTGTGGCTTTTTTTATTCTAAAAGTCTTACAGTTATAAAGTTTTATTTATTAATAGATTGGGTTTGGAGTAGATCATTTTAAGTTAGGCCGAAACAAATATATTTATGTAAGTTTGCTATTTTGTGTGTGGGTGCTGCATATGCGAGTTGATTTTTTAACAATTTGATGGCTAGATAAATTTGATGGAAGAATAATGCGTTTTTTCCCTTAATAGAAAATAAGGGAAGGTAAAGAAAGAGATAGACTTCGTATTTGCTGCAGAAAAGTGTGTGCTTGCAGCATATAATTTTAATCCTCTGATTGCTTTGCTGTTTTTTTGTATTGTGGCACCTGTTCAGATTATTAGAACTACGACGTGCACATACATTTAAATAGACGATAGCTTTTATTTAAATGACCAAAGACATAAAGTAATTATCAAATTTTAATTTCCAATCAGGAAGATGAAGAATGTGCCAATGAAGAGTGGTTGAGGAATTTGTCAGCATCACTAGTTGGAAGTGGAAAAAAATCGTTTTTAGAGGCTATTTCTAAGTGCTTAGGTTCAGGAAACTCGGATTTGGTGACAGCCTGCTTAACTACTGTAGCATGGTTGACCTGTGCACTTTCTTCACTAACCGATTCTGAGTTCCAGCTCTCTACCTTCTGCACTCTTATCTCTCAGCTGAAACAAAGCCTGGAAAATGGTGCACAAGTTCAACATAAGGTTCTTGCTTCAATGTCTTTGCTGAACTTCAGTAAAATTCCAGGTTAGCAACTTTTTCTTACTACATTTCTGAACAATGTGAAATAGTGAACAATAAAGCTCAGCCCTCTCCTATGTCTTGAATATAGCTCTTAAAACTAGTAATTAGGAACAATCTAACAATTTCTTTTGGAAACCAGAAATGAAGAGAACCCTACATCTAGTTTGGAAGACAGAAGTATCCTCTCCCGTTGCATTCAAATTAGGGAAGTCTTGTATTTTTTTTATTTATTACATTTCTTCAATTTGGACTTTGTTCTATATCAGTCTTGTTTTTTCCCTGGAATCGATCTTGGTCTAATTCCAATACAGCGTCTTTACTTTTCTATGATTTGACTGTGGCTTGGTATTTATCATATGGCTTGTTTTTTATCATATCTTATACCTGTTGCATGCTTTAACATGAACACTTGTACTTTTGGAGTCCCATAACTCAACCATCTCTTTTTTAACACAGTACCACATGTATATGGCGTCCATAATCTGCCATTATGTGGATATACTAATGGCTGACATTGGAAAGATTCTGGGCCAAATTCAACAACGGTTTTATGCTGCAACGGATACGAAAGCATAGCTTTTAAACCGTGGAGGCTTCCACTATGGAATATATATATATATATATATATATATATATATATAAGTGCTTTGCGTTTGAAACACTGAAATTGGATCGAGTATGCTTTAAAATGGCCTCTTTCCCTTCCCTTTTGTATTGCAGAATGCAGGATCCTGCTAAAGACAATTGCAGAAGAGATAGCCATTCCTCTGAGAAGCCTTGCTGATGTAACATGGACAGCTAAGCAGCTATATGGCATAATTTCAGGGACAGACCTCTAATCTAACGGGGAGGAGATGCTGCTCTGCTTCTGAAGTTTCCAACCTTTACGCTATTGCAGGCATTTAATATTCTTTTCTAGCTAGGTAAAATTAGATTACGCATGGTTATGCAATATCAATCACACCACCTAAGGTGATGATGATTTAAGCAAGATATTTCTTTTACAGATTTAGAGAAAATTTTGTTCTTAAATTGATTCTTAGATGAACTATTGAAAGTATTGTCATCAGAACTTAGGCAGGGGCTTGACATTGTCAAATAACTATAAAGACCTTTCTGGTGAGTCTTGTTTTTATCTTAAACTGTACAATTATTTATGGAGCAATACTCCCTCTACATATTATCGCTTATGTAATTTTTATTAGGTTTTAATGTTTTGAGTGTGTTTAGTGCATAAGAATATAGATACAATTGGATAATATAAGATTAATATAGATAAAATTGGATTAGATGATGTTATCCTATTTTATGTTTATTATGTGCAACACTTGAGAGTAAAATGTCATGATTTTTATTTTCATCATATTTTCTATGTGTAAGATTAAGAGTAAGATAAAATAAATTTTTTATTAATTAAAATTTCTTTTTTCAAAGTAAATATAATTTAAATTTATAAAATTTTTTATAAATATAATTCAATGATTTTCTTAACTAAAAATATATCTATCTATTTATATCTATATCTATATCTATATATATATATATATAAATGTGAACTCCAAAGTTGTTAATAGTGATCGACTTAAATACCCCTATAAAATTTTAAATTGACGAATTTATTCTTAAATACATAACTTTTAATAATTTATTTAAGTTTAATTTAAATAAACTAGAATTAAAAATAAAGTTTATGAGAAATTAAATTTTTTAAATTTTTAAATTTTAATTTCAAAAGTGTTAAAAGCGATTGACTAAAATATTTTTAGTAATTTTTTTTATAAATTTTAATTTAGATGAATTTTTTATTGTTATACTTTTTTTTGTAATTAGACTAAAAAAATGCTAAAAGTAATTAACTAAACCCTTAATAAAATTTTAATTCCAAAAATATTAAAAGTAATTGATTAAAATATCATTAGTAATTTTTTTATAAATTTTGATTTAAATGATTTTATTTTTATTATTAAACTCCTTTTTTTTTATAAATAGATGATTTTTTGCTTCAAATGAAAATACAAATAAAACGATATAAAAATTTAATATACATAAAAATAAAATAATTATATGAAGTTTGTTTATTTATTACAAAAACAATTATATATGCAATTTATGTAAATAAATAAATTCATTTAAAATAATCATAATTAAGTTATTTAAGCATAGTTTTTTCTATTTTTTGCTTTTCAAATTTTTGTTTTAATATATTAACTACGTATGTATGATAATGATTTTATTATTTATATGTTTTATGAGTTGATTATTTAATCATTAATAACATATTTAAAACTTTTTAATCCCTTGAAATAATTTTTTAATATATCATTCTTACACTTTAGTAATTAAATTTTCTTTTATATTTTTTTCTTTAAAATTTTATAATTGTTATTTCCATGAACAAAAACTAATATCAAATCAGTTGCACCCTATTCAATAACAATTAGCATTATGTGATCATTGAACACTTTAATTGAATTTTTCACCTATAAAATTAGATAATTCAAGAGATGATGAAGCTACCAGTAGTTCAAAATTAGGTACCATCAAATTGCCATAAAAATTGTTCATCTTGATTGAAACAATAATTATTTTAATTTTTTCTTAAATTTTTTTTAATATGTTTATATATGATTAATTTATATCTCAAGATTATTTAATTTTTTAATTATATTAAATTACTTGCATTTTTGTCCTCTAGGTGGTTGAATGATTTGACATTAATTATTTTAAGTAAAAAATATCAAGTTAAGTAAAATTAATTGTTTTTGAAGAATTCTTTTAAGGTGTGACAAAATTCATTGGAACTATTTTTTAAATGTGCTTACACCAAAATTACATTCATTCATGAAATTTATGTCGTTAATGCTACAAACAAAATCATTATAAATTATATAGATATTACATAACAAGTTTGTTATTTTTAGAATTGAAATCTTTTTAATAAAACATGACAAGTACCAAAGTTAAGAATTTATTTTATTTTGTTTTTAAAATTATGCATTTTAATATTTTTATGTGATAAAATTTTTTAAATAAAAGAAAAATTAAACTTTCAATTGATAGAACATACAATTATATTCAATTGATGGAAGTATAAATGGAAATTATCCTAAACAAAATAAATTAGATGAAAGATTGATTGATTATGTATGACTTTGTCTTTTCATATGACAAAGAATGTTAGTGCTATATAAAGTTTAATGAGAAATATACAAATGTATTGATTTCAAATTTCTTTAAGATTAATAGGAAACTCTTTTATTTAGAAAAATATTATATACTTCTTCATTTTCTCCTTTATATCAGTTTAAGATTATTTATAGTTGTATCAAAAATTTTAAGGTTGCGATATTTGGTAATATTTGTTCAAATGAATTGAAATTTATAGAATTAATTATCACTATTACATTTAAAATAAAAATATTATTATAAATTATAATTTAGCTAAACTTGAAAATGATTTAAAGGTATTCATTAGAAAAGTTTATTTGATAAATCTTTATGTTCAATCGTTTTGAATTTTAACTTTTCATTATTTAGAGTTAGATTTTAAATTTAGGATCAATGATTAATTAGGTTGAGTTAAGTTTTATCATCTACTTTTATTCATAGTTACTCAATTATTTACTTATACAACTAAGTAAATTTGACTTAATAATTGGTGCATGTTTCTCTTTATTTAAAAAGTTTGATTTAAATT